AAAAACTCAATTTTTTAAAAATCAATCAAAATAAATCAAAACCAAACAAAAGTATCACAATCTAATAATGGCCAGTAATCCAATCAATTACATACAAATCTCATAATGGGAAGAAATAAATTCTATAAATATCAAACTCATTTCTATAAAAATTAAACCCACAATCTCAAATTATAAAGGAGGCCTCTTTTGGCAAACAAGATAAAAGCAGCTTTTGGCTTTTAATCTCCTTCAGTGAGCTCACATCACTTCTTAATTTTTTTACATATTTTTTAAAAAAAAAATAAAATCAAAAAGTTAACTTGTAGACCAAAGTCCTCCTCGCAAAGGTTGAGGCCTATAAATTCATGAAAAAACTTGGTTGAATAATAAAGAATTTAGAAGGGAGAGAGAGTTAGGGTTTTTGAGTAGGGAGAAGACATGCCTTGCTTTAACTTATCTACTAACGTGACCCTGGAGGGCATTGATATCTCCTCCATCCTCAAGGTAGCCACTTCCGCCATCGCCAATCTCATTGGAAAACCAGAGGCTCATGTGATGGTTATGTTGAAGGGTTCAGTCCCCATTGCTATAGGTGGGATCGAGGACCCAGCAGCCTATGGTGAAGTGGTGTCCATTGGAGGTCTTAACCCAGATGTAAGCAAGAAGCTTAGTGCTGCAATTTCAACCATACTTGAAGCCAAGTTGTCCGTTCCTCCTACAAGATTCTTCCTCCAATTCTATGACACTCTGGGCTCCAACTTTGGATGGAATAGAACCATCTTATAAATTCAATATACTCTATATATGTAATTGGAAATGCGCTGTTAAATAATAAAATATGATCAATAATAATAAAAAGTATCTTACCACAAGCTAATGAAAAGTTTGATGCCAATGGGAATTGTGAACTAAATTGTGTTCCAAAACATATTGTCAAATAGGTTACCTAAACTATGCACAAGTTTCTTCGTGTGTAATTCCGTCTTGCGCACGTGGAGAGACAAATAGAAAATCAAACACAAAGAGAAGCAAATAATGAACAAGAGAGGAGAAACCAAATAAGTACATAATATCCAATGCTAATAAAGAGATTTGAACCCCAGAGCTATCTCAACTAGAGCTCTAATACTATGCTAAATTACAAATTTTTTCAAAAGCGTAAGTTGTTAGAAAATTTGTCCAACAATATATATCAAACTATTTAATAATACTTAATGCAACAAATTACGATTTTAGAGATAAAAATTTTGGAATAAAATTACTTTTTAAGGATAAGAAATTTTAGTGATCAAAAGTATCATTATTATATTTTTAATGACAAAATTGGATATTTGATGAATCACTATCTTTTGAGACCAAAATTTATTGTCTAAAAAATAAACCTTTTTTGGATCGAATTATTTTGTCCCTAAAAGTGTATTTTTATTAGCAACATTTTCAAAATTTTGGTGCTAATTTTTTTTAAAACTTTTTGGGACGACTTTTTAGTGACTATTTTCGTGACGACAGAAATTAATTTCTAAATATTTTTTGCAACAAAATTTGTAGCTTTAGGGGGGGGAAATAATTTTTAAAACTTTTACATGCTGCAGTGACTATTCAATCGAGTGGTCAATTATATCATTTTTTAAAAAATAAAAAATAAAAATTGCCAAAGATTATGTCTATTCATTTTTCTCTCCTGAAATGGGGAGTATCAGGAAAAAAAAAAAAAATAGCTCTACATGTTGCAGACTTCAATATTTCGAGGACTACAATTTGATGGTAGTATACAAATATTATATCTCTAGAGAAATATTTAAACGAAGATTAAAAAATAAAATGAAAGGAAATGAAATTATATGTACATGTTTATTTTTATGAATAACAATGATCTATTTGTTATCTTCTCATTTCTAAAATCAATCAGATAAGGAAAAATAATTTCATTTCAGCATAGGTGTTTTTTTAAAAAATTACAAATAAGTCGAAACTTTATCATGAATCTATAATAATTTTTTGATAATACATTGGTAATTTTCTCATCAAATAAAAGGGAAAAAAAATTAACTTGACGTAGGAAAGACAATCATGAGGTTTTGTGCTTACGAAAATAAAAAACATGATCAAAAGATGGAATGGAATCCCATTGTCAAGAATAAGATTTGTTAACGCCCCCAAAAAAAAAGGCTCAACATTAATTTATCAGATAAATGATAGTGCTAAAATTAGAATTAATACTTCCACAACACATTAATTATTATGTAGTTGTGACAAAATCATTTTTGAGGGAAATTATTTAGTTCTCCTTAAGCAAGTCCAAGTGTGGCTCCAAATTAATAATTTATTGGTCTAATTATAAAATACACTACTTTTGTATTGCAATTTTAAAGATAATATGAAAAGTGTCCATTAATAAATGAAATGGAGCATTAATCCAAGTGTACTGAACAATTCTCTAATTTTGGGTTCAGCATTATGAACTCAAACTGTCCCTGGACATGGAGAAAGTTGCTTCAACGCATGTGGGTTTGGCATGGGTTTGGTTACAAAGAGATAAAATAGATTTTTTAATCTCGGGTTAAAAGTCACTTGGCAGACGGATGTAGATCAATTTTCTTCAATCCACCAATCTAGTAGACGGATGGCGGATTGAAGGTTCCGTGGCCGCAACCGATTCACGCCCACCCCTACTCCAAATTAATAATTTATTGGTCTAATTATAAAATACTTCACTTTTGCATTGAAATTTTAAAGATAATATGAAAAGTGTCCATTAATAAATTAAATGGAGCATTAATCCAAGTGGTACTGAACAATTCTCCAATTTTGGGTTCAGCATTATGAACTCAAACTGTCCCTGGACATGGAGAAAGGTGCTTCAACGCATGTGGGTTTGGCATGGGTTTGGTTACAAAGAGATAAAATAGATTTTTTAGTCTCGGGTTAAAAGTTGTCACATTTAAATTATAATTATTTTATTTTTTTCTCACAAAAGTCAAAAAAAAGTCAAAAAATCCATCACAAACGAGATTATTTTAGTCCCAAAAAAATAGCCAAAAAGCCAATTCACATCCCAAACGAACCCTTGGATTTTAGGAACAAAATTGTTTTTTCCCCTAAAAGTGGAAATTTTGTTACAAAAAATATTAAGAGAGCAATTTCTGTCGTTACTAGAATTATTACTAAAAGGTGATCTCAAAAAGTCAAAAAAAAAAAAAAAAAATCTTTACTGACAAATTTTTTAAAATATCACTAATAAATTCACATTTTAAGAACAAAATAATTTGACCATCTAAAAAAAAAAAAAAAAAAAGAACAAAACAATTTGGTTCCCAAAAAGGTTTTTTTTGGGACTAAAAATTTGATCACAAAAAGATAGTAATGTTGTGAAGTAATCTTGATATAAAAATTGTTCGTCAAAAATGGAAGCAGAAATCAAGATGGCCGTAGTTGCATTCAATGCATTTATACTGATAGCCGTAGTTACATTTAATGCATTCACATTGATAGCTGTATTTACATTAAATGTGTTCACACTGCTAGTTTATCTAGAAATAGCTAATGTATCAGAGTGATATGTGTGTGGGAGAAACAAAATAAAGAGTGTTTTGTTTGTTTGTTTTTCAGAATTATTTTGAGTGAATTGAATTTCAGTTTGGTTCAGTTTTAAATCTCTTATTGTGAATCACCAGCAATGGTTTGCACCCCACTCCCACCAACAGTGATATCAGACCCGGTTTTGTGCGTTTTCGAAAAAAACAGAGTGTGTTTTTCAAAAATTGCCCAGAAATCAAAGTGGTCGAAATCCACTTTTGATCACATCAACTTGAAGCTCCCGACGAGACAGCACAACTGCAAAAATCGCGTCGAAAACGGATCTCGGACGACTCCGCATGTGCCACACGCGCCACTGACGCCGTTCTCACGCGAGCCCACTCACTGCCAGAGGAAGAAGACGCATGATCCCATGAGCCACACGCGCGTGCACCAGACGACTTGACGTCATTGCTGACGTCATCGAGCCGTTGACAGCCGTTGACCGAGTCGAGCTATCGTTGACCTGAGCCGCTGACCGAGCCGAGCCGAGCCTGAGTCGTGCCGCTAACCAAGCCGCATTGACTGCGCCGTTGACCGAGCCACTAACATCAGCATGCCGAGGATTAATCCAGTGTGACGCAGCTAAGGTGCAACCGCAGATCTGAAGCGTCAAAACTATTTTGGCTTGATCTGAGCCATTCAGAGTCTGTTTTTGGTGATCCAATAGTGCTTTCCAACTATTTAGAATATTCCAGACACATCTGTACGGTCAGAATTTGCAAATTCGATCTTAAAAATTTGTAGTTTTTTAAAGACAACCAATGGCCAACATAAACAACTTCTTTCAACCCCAGTTTCCAAAACTCAACAAGGAGAACTATGAAAATTGAAGTATTCAAATGCAAATCCTACTAGCCTCACAAGATTTGTGGGAGTTAGTGGATCGAGGATATGATGAGCCAGCAACTCTTGAAGATGAAGGAAATTTAAATGAAGCTCAGAAGACAGCATTAAAAGATTCAAGGAAGAGAGATAAAACGGCTTTGTATCTACTCTATCAAGGCATTGATGAGTTAAGTTTTGAGAAGATTTCAGCAGCAGCAACCTCTAAAGAGGCATGGAGTATTATTCGCAATTCACATCGTGGAATTGAGAAGACGATCAGAGTTTGACTCTAGGTGTCATGTGGCGAATTTGAGATGCTGCACATGAATGAGAATGAGTCAATTTCCGAGTACTTTAACAGAACATTGACAATTGTTAATCAGATGAGAAGATATGGAGAGAAGATGGAATCTCTTCAAGTAATGAGAAGATTCTCCGATCACTCAGTCCCAAGTTCGAGCACATGGTTGTAGCAATAGAAGAGTCCAAGGATCTTAGTGCTATGACCACTGATGAGTTGATGGGCACACTTGAGATTCATGAACAAAGGATCAACAAGAAGACTCCCTCAAGTTTCCTAGAGCAAGCTCTTCAATCAAAGTTGTCTTTTAGAGATGACAGAAACGAGCAAGGGGGGACATCACAAAGAAGCCGAGAAAGAGGTCGTGGTTACAATAACCGAAGTTTTGGTTTTCGAGGAAGAGACGGAAGAGGTCCAGCTAGAGGAGGAAGAAGTCAACCACACTTTGCTCCAAGATGAAGAGCAAGAGGTAGAGGAGGTGGTCACAACAACTGACCAGGATTTGAAAAAAACAATGTTCAGTGCTACCATTGCCACAAGTTCGGGCATTACAATGATGAATGCTGAAGTAGAGCAACAACAGAAGCTGGAGAGCAAGCAAATTTTGCCGAGTAGGAAACTAACAAAGTTGGACCTATAGTCATGTTTGTCCACCATGGAGACACTGAAAACCAAAACAATATTTGGTATCTAGATTCGGGAGCCAATAATCACATGTGTGGTAAAAGAGAGTTGTTTGTTGAGCTTGACAAGACTGTACAAGCACAAGTCTGATTTGGTGATTCTTCAAAGACTCTAGTGAAAGGAAGAGGTAATTTTCTGATCAAGCTCAAGAATGGAGATCATGATTACATCTCTAATGTTTATTATGTTCTTGCCATGAAGAACAACATTTTGAGTATGGGACAACTCCTAGAGAAAGGATACGACATCAACATGAAAGATTGTTATCTTACCATCAAAGACAATCATGGTAATTTGATCGCTCTGGTGAGAATGTCCAAGAATCGGATGTTTGCATTAAACATCCAACATGATGCTGTGAAGTGTTTAAGTGCCATCATCAAAGACAAAGACTGGCCATGGCATTTGAGATTTGGATATCTCAACTTTGGAAGCTTGAAGCTGTTGTCAAGAAAGAATATGGCGAAAGGGCTCCCTCATATTGCTCATACTAATGAGGTCTGTGAAAGCTGCATTCTTGGCAAGCATCGCAGAACTAGCTTTGCCAAAGAAGTGAAGTAGAGAGCAACAAAGCCGCTGGAGCTAGTGCACAATGATGTGTGTGGTCCATTGAAGCCAATGTCAAATGAACAGAATAGATATTTTCTGACCTTCATTAATGATTATAGTCGGAAGACATGGGTGTATTTTCTTAAAAGAAAGTTGAACGTATTCAGTATCTTCAAAGAATTCAAAGCTTTTGTAGAGAAGCAAAGCGACTACTACATCAAGACATTGCGATCAGATCAAGATGGAGAATATACATCAGATACTTTCGAGAATTATTGCAAAGAGCATGGAATTAAGCATCAAATAACACCATCTTATACACCACAGCTGAATGGTGTTCCTAAGAGGAAGAATTGCACAATCTTAGATATGGCAAGGAGCATAATGAAACGAAAAGGACTACCAAAACAATTTTGGGCTGAAGCCATATCATGTGCTGTGTATCTACTAAATAGATGCCCAACCAGGAGCCTTCATTCTATGACTCCAGAAGAAGCTTGGAGTTTACATAAGCCAAGTGTCAACCATCTCATAATATTTGGGTGTGTTGCGTACACCAAGATTCTAGAAGCAACAATAACCAAGCTCGATGATAAAGGAGAAAAATGTGTCCTTGTCGGATATGGAGACAGAACAATGGGACACAGGTTGTATAATCCCATTACCAAAAAGGTGATCATGAGTAGAGATGTGATATTTGAAGAAGAAGAAGCTTGGAACTAGAATCTAGATGAAGTTGTTAAAGATACAGAACTCATTCTTGAAGATGAAACATCAAAAGCTCCGGTTGAAATTACAAGAGAAGTTCAAGATGAGCCTCAAACTCCTCCATAGAAAACCGGCACCTAGATCGCTAGTTTCTCGTAGAAGTGTTGCATCATCATCATCATAATCACCATTAGATGATAGTTTTTTCAAACAACCAAGACCAATGAGAAATTTGCAGGAGATATATGAAGCTACAGAAGAAGCAGATCTGAATTTGTTTTGCCTACTCGCAGATAGTGATCTCCTTACTTTCTCAGAAGCCATCCAAGAAGATAAATGGAAGAAAGAAATTGATGAAGAAATTCATGCCATTGAGAAAAATGACACATGGAAGCTTACTAGTTTACTGGAGGGGCACAAACCCATTGGAGTGAAATGGGTATACAAGACAAAGAGGAATGCGCAAGGCGAAGTGCAACGCTATAAGGCAATGTTAGTAGCAAAAGGTTACAAGCAGAGAGCTGGAATTGATTATGGAGAGGTGTTTGCTCCAGTTGCCTGATTGGAGACTATCAGGCTAATGATTTCTTTGGCAGCCTAGCACAAGTGGCAGATTTATCAACTTGATGTGAAATCTGTATTTCTTAATGGTTTCCTTGAAGAAGAAATCTATATTGAACAACCTTCGGGGTATGTTCAAAATGGGCATGAAGACAAAGTGTACAAATTGAAGAAAACACTTTATGGATTGAAGCAAGCTCCGCGTGTATGAAATACTAGAATTGATCAGTATTTTCATGACAATGGTTTTGAAAAATGTCCATATGAGCATGCACTATATTTGAAGAAGGAAGCTGATGGAAGCATGTTGCTTGTTTGTCTTTATGTTGATGATCTAGTTTTCACCGGAAACAATCCAGTCATGTTCAATGACTTTAAAAGAAACATGGTTCAAGAATTTGAAATGACAGATATTGGATTGATGGCTCATTTTCTCGGCATTGAAGTGGCACAAAGAAAATATGGAATTTTTATTTCCCAAAGTGGCTATACCAAGGAAATTCTCAAGAGATACGGAATGGAAAATTGTAATCCAGTGAACACTCCTGTAGACAGTGGAGTGGAGCTCAAAAAAGGTACAAAGGCATGTGCTGTGGATCTAACTTATTTCAAGAGCATAGTTGGAAGTCTTTGCTATCTTACTTGCACCAGGCCAGACATACTCTATGGAGTAGGAATGATTAGCAGATATATGGAAACACTAGATCAGTCACATCTTTATGCAGCAAAGAGGATTCTTTGCTACATCAAAGGTACAGTCGATGATGGTTTATTCTATAAACCAACTAATAATTTCAGTCTTGTTGGCTACTCAGATAGCGACCAGGGATGTGACTTGGATGAACGAAAAAGTACTACGGGATTTACTTTCTTTATGGGAGATATAGCCTTCACATGGTCGTCCAAGAAGCAAGCCATTGTGACATTATCGACTTGCGAAGCTGAGTATGTTGTAGCCAACTCAGCTGTGTGCCATGCAATATGGTTACGGAACATGCTGAAGCATTTGGGATTTCCACAAGAAAAACCCACTGAGATCTATGTTGATAATCGCTCAGCAATTGCATTGGCAAAGAACCTAGTTTATCATGAAAGAAGTAAGCATATTGACATCCACTATCATTTCATCCGAGAGCATGTGAAAAATAAAGAGGTGGAATTATTTCCTTGCAGATCTCAAGATCAGCTTGCAGATATTTTTACGAAGCCATTGAAAAAAGATCTGTTCAACAGAATGAAGATAATACATGAGATGAAGCCGCATTGAGAATCAAGATTAAGGGGGGATGTTGTGAAGTAATCTTGATATAAAAATTGTTTGTCAAAAATGGAGGCTGAAATCAAGATGGTCGTAGTTGCATTCAATGCATTCACACTGATAGCTGTAGTTGCATTTAATGCGTTCGCACTGATAGCTGTATTTGCATTAAATGTGTTCACACTGCTAGTTTATCTATAAATAGCTAATGTATCAGAGTGATATGTGTGTGAGAGAAATAAAATAAAGAGTGTTCTGTTTGTTTGTTTTTCAGAATTATTTTGAGTGAATTGAATTTCAGTTTGGTTCAGTTTTAAACCTCTCATTATGAATCACTAATAGTGGTTTGCACCCCACTCCCTCCAACAAGTAATTCATTAGTATTAAATGTGTAATTTTGTCTAAAAAAATAACAATAATACTTTTCACAATTAAAATAGGGAAATTTATTAGAAAATCATTTTCAAGTGTTTGTATCCCAATTAGTCCATAAGATATTCTTATATTCTAATAAGTCCTATTATTTGGACATTTGATCTACCAAATCCTAATTATCATATTTATGGTATTTTATGGACATTTCTACCCTCAGAAATATTTTTGAACGGTTAGCAATTGGTGATATAAGCATTCATATTTTACAATGTGAATATTCACATTGACAATGTGAACATTTACATTGATGGTGTGAATATTTACATCACGAAACATTCACATTGTAAATGTGAATATTATTAGGGGTATTTTGGTAACTATATCACCCATAGGACTTATTGGAAAATAAAAAAATAATGTGGACTAAATGTAACATAAGTAAATGAAAATAGGTTTATGAAAAAGTGCCCCATTAAAATATTTCATTCTTGAAAAGTAATTTTATTTTTAATTATTTATTTATTTATTTATTTTAAGTGTAAATACAACACCTCAATTACATGGGACTCTATTGGAATTCACCAGGCAAAAGTCAAGTGGCACAATCCAATTTGATTTTTCCAAATTGTATTCAGCTTTATTTAGTTTGGATTTCTACAATTCACTTTTTAGAAAATTAAAATTTTTTATTTTTCGTATTTTTTATTTTTGTTTTTTTGTTTCTATTGAGTTTTTCTTTTCTTTTTTTTTTAATATTCTAAACAATTTTTTTTTTAATTTTTAAATATAACTAACATAAATATACTTTAAAGGTATAATATTTGTAAAAAAAATCTTTTAAAAATTCACTAAGTATCAAAAATATAATATATATATATATATATATGAGAATTCAGTACATTTTTTGTTATTAATTTCTTATAAATATTTTACTTTTTAGATACATCTAAGTAAGGTGCATCTAAAAAAGTTTAAAAAATTACTTAAAATTTTAAAAATATTCACTAAAAAACTAAAAAAAAAAGCAAAAAATAAAAAAATAATAATTTTTTAAAAATTCAATCCAAAAAATTAAAACCAAGGATACTGATTATATTTCCGGACGATTTAAATTTTTAATAGCAATTATAAGTAAACTCAGGACACACTCATCTGCTTGCTTTGTAATCAGGAAATTGAAACTCTGCAACACCCTGTTATTTTCGTGTCCATTCTCTGGAGTTATTTTGGTTTCAGGTTTCTAACTTGTGAAATAAATAATAATAGGAGAAATTAATGATTAAAATTATTATTAATTTTTTTATTAGTTTTACTATTAAAACAGATTGTTAGTTTAGATTGAAAACAAATTAAAATATTAGGGTTTAAGTGGACAAAATTAAAAGGGACATTTACACACAAATCTTATTTTATGAACTTATACTCTATTAAGTCCTAAATAAGATTTTTTGCCCAAAATTTACAAAAAAAATAATGTAGTAATGTCATTTTTATAAATAAACTAATCATTATAAATATTTTATTTTAAAACAAAATATACCACATCATTACGTATAAAAATTCATATTTGTATATTATCATCACTCGATGTGCTTCTATGTTTTTGGTAACAATAACACTAGAAACACACATTTATCAATCCAGAATTTATCCAAAAAAAGAAAACTAATTGTTCAAATTCATTTTACTCATGAACTCCTCACTTAATCAAATTAATCTCCACCAAATAAACTCATTCGGGATAAATTATGAGTTCCTAAGGATGGGTGCATAGCATTTTTCTTTTGGTAATAATTCTCACTTACCCTGAAAAAGAAAAACCCTAATTTATCATGCCTAGATTTTGTAGATTACCATTTTATGATTCTGAATGCAAAGTCAAATCTCCAATTAATATACCTAGATTTAGTAGATTACGTAGGTCTTATTTGGAAACATATTATTTTAATAATTTTTTATTTTTTTATAAAAAGATATGCAGAAAAGTAAAGAGAGTGATGTGACAATTTATAATAATTTTTTGACTAAAATATATAATTGACAAACGATACCTTATTCAATGATATTAAATATCATTATCTTTCATATGTGACCATACTTTATTTTGTGG